GTAAATCATATGGAAAAGTTTCGTTGTGGACCTGCAGCCATATCTGTATGAAGGTAGCAATTGCGCAGCTTCGCGATTGTTCCACTTCCCTACCAGCCTAATGGAACTTGGAAAGACATGAATGGGCAGACCTAAATTGAGGACAAAGCAACGTGGAAGAACATACGCTAGACCCCACCTCCACGGAACTGTGTTAAATTCCATCTTCTGTTGCATAAAACCGATTCTAGTACAGTGTTCCTACGTCTAGCAATGGGCACGCATGTTGGCCAGCATATTCACCATCTCTAATTGCAGTTGCTCAACAAGAAGAAACTCCACATCTAGTAGAACTGCCAAGGGGAATCAGTGACGTTACAGTTGGATTCCTCCTCAGTTGCACAGATATTCGATGACTGGTGCGGATGGCGCGTAGGAGTCTTCTCTAAAGCACGGATTACGCTGTGATGGCTGACGTGGAAAAAGAGGAGAAGGCCATGCAATACGTTGGTTGTTTAACTGTCGGTTTTGGTGGAAGGGCACTTCATTTCTTCGCCATTGTGCATTCGTTGGGAGGCTGGCCTGTGAGCCACGCCAGTAGTCCTCAATCAAGAGACCTACAACCCCAGTAGTTATTTCTTTTGGTGACAATCCTAGGACTGAGACGGCTAGCCGCTTTTGACTACTCAAGTTGCAAACAGGCTGGTCTGGGCCAATTTAGATGCAGTGACAAGCCCTTCTGCACGGACGGCACATTTCAGCTGCTATTTGGAGGCCAGATTGAATAAAAAATGCGACGTGAACATATATGCAGTCCCCACGCCTACAATTTTCTCACTTATGCAAAATGGAAAATTCTGCTTAACTTCAATTCGCCTTTTAAATTGATAATCGAGAAAAGGTAAATCAGGTGGGTTTCTGTTGTGGGTGGCTGAGCTTACAAATGTACATCGCAGGACAAAAGAAACCCGAAGGACGGATATCCATCAGTGGAAGGAAGGTCTGAGAATATTTTTAAATAAATGGTCCAGCAAGAGTAAAGTAATAATGAAATTGAGTAGGGAAGTAAATGCTGGGACCAACAACCAAGAGGCTTATTAGAAGAACTTGCTAGTTCATCCGATCACATACGTTGTCGACTCATTTCACTGCGCTCCAAATAAATCGGAGCATACCAATTTGCTAAGATAGTAGTAAAATTTGGATTGGGAATAATGACTTTAATGAAAATGTGATGAAATGACGCATCTGAACTGTGGCACTCGACTTGCTCTGACACCCAGATGGGGTGTGTATTAGGCCAGTTTGGCAGTCTGTTCTACTCCATCAGTAGGTTTACTGGAAATGATGTGATCATTAAATGTAAGAAAAACTAATATTTCATTAGATAAAACAATGCCCTCGATAGATTAGTAGTCATTTTGGAAAATGAATGGGTTGATAATTGGTAGCATTGGTCTGGTGGCGGAGAGCGGCAAATGATGCTCCACCTTAGCAGGAGTGTTTGAATTGCAATTGCTTCTTTGGCACGCTTTTAAGTAAACGAATTTTAGTTGTTTGTGCCAATTTGAGGTGCCCACACACTCTCTCCACATGCGTGTGCATGTCCTAAATTGAGGACAAAGCAACGTGGAAGAACATACGCTAGACCCCACCTCCACGGAACTGTGTTAAATTCCATCTTCTGTTGCATAAAACCGATTCTAGTACAGTGTTCCTACGTCTAGCAATGGGCACGCATGTTGGCCAGCATATTCACCATCTCTAATTGCAGTTGCTCAACAAGAAGAAACTCCACATCTAGTAGAACTGCCAAGGGGAATCAGTGACGTTACAGTTGGATTCCTCCTCA